AAAAAAAAAAAGAAAAAAAAGAAAGAAGTTTCCAATGAGAAGTTGTTGTTAAACGGTAACTTATTTTACTTGTCTTTATTTTTGCAGGGAAAACCAGTAATCCTGAAATATGTCAAGTTTCAGAATGTTCGAAGGTAAATTAAAATTTATAGTTTTGTGCCTCCACTTAGGTTTTGGCTAAACATTTTAACTGAACTATAAGTTACTCTTATTGTTTCAATCAGCTTGACAATATTTATTGAAGACAATCAGTCAGGTTCTGATATCACCAAGGTTCAGAAGATTGTGCTGCACGGAACAACGTAAGTTTTTATTTCTTGCTGAAGATCATTTCAAGTTCTCAATCTTGTTTTGCTTTCCTTTTACTACAAACTCAAGAAACCCAGATGCATTCTTGTAATGGGGAGTTTGAAGTTCATAATTTTTCTTCTATGCATATGAAGTATATATGTCTTTTTGTATAATATTTGAAGTTGAGAAAAGTTTTGACTTTTGAGCTTATTTTGTGATGACTGTATTCTTTAGATTCACTTTGGTGAGTCATGTGTTTCACTTATTAGGATAGGCCAGTTAGAAAATGTTATGAAGATTATATTCATCAAAAAGAAAAAAAAAAAAGGAAAAAAAAGAAAATGACTACAAAGGCATTGATCAAGCATAAGCATAATATGAAAACTCATGCTATTGATGGGGTCTTCACCTTTAGTTAGAAGCTGTGGCGCATTTATGAAGAAATATGTAATTTTCTACCAAGAGTTTATGGTCTTGTTATCATTTAATTATATTCCATATTTCTACAATTTCCCTATGAATATATATATATATATATATATATGTTAGTTTTCCCTTGCTTGGGGAACTTTGATAGAATTATCTGGGTCTTCTCCATTCCAGTACTTTTCCAGATTATAGGCTTTCATTTCTGATCTTTGTTGACCCTAAGTGCTTTGTTTCTCTAATTTATCTTGTGTAACTCTCATGGGCACTAAACAGTAAACAATCATTGTTGCCTTATTATCTATTTTATTTTCTTGATTTGCTATTTGTCTATTAGCATGTCATAGTACTCACTGCATAAGTAAATAAGTAATCTTTACCTTGTTAGAGTTCCTCAATACCATCAACATGTAGGTTTTGAGGGACTAAAACATGATTTCTGAATCTCCCATCAAATTTTGAAGTCTCTAATAAATGCTTTGTTTTGCCTGATACTTGTTTGATCCAAATTTTCATAAAAGAGCAAAAGAGCATTGCAGATTGTTTAAACCATATGCACTGTGCTACTTGTGGTTGAATTTATCTTCAGTACACAAATGACACAGAACAAATTAGTAATAAAAAATGAGTTTTTTTCACTTTTATTTATGATTGAAAGTTGTTCCACCTCAAGGTCTTGTGTTGTGCTTGGAATTTGTATGACGTGATGTTGGAATTGCAGGGTGGAAACAACAGACATGAAGGGATTGAAGAAGATAGAGGATCACTGACCTGGAAAGAGGAGAAGGGCAAAAGCAAGGATTGATGTATCCACATGGATCTCCATAGCATTGTTAAATCTTCTTATCAGCTTTTTCTAAATTTTGATCAATCTGACAATATAAACCAGTTTCATGCATGAAATATCCAGTTTTCTGTATCTTTAGAATTCTGACAAATTTCTATTCAGCTGTTGGTCTTTTTCATTCTTCAATGGAGGCCAGTGTCTTGTACTGGCAAAATGGAAGGATAAATTCAATCCTAGAGTTTGTTAGAGTCAAGATATTGTCACGGACAAGGACAACTTAATGCACTGTAGTTGTTCTCCGGAAATCCTAACATTGTTTGCCCATTATCCTACTACAAATTGAGAGTAAATATTGGTGTTCTTGCAATAGAGGAAGCAATGCATAATGGTGGGTTGTTTGGGGTTGTTTCCAGAATATATATACTTTCTAGAATTGTTCTTAGAATACAAAGCTCAGGACATTTTATATGAGATCCGGTCAAGGAAGCATTTTTCAAAAATTTTCTGGTAAGGATATGACAATTTTTTTTTTTTTTTTTTTTTTTTTACAAGTTAAGGTTACCTCTTTTAAAAGATAATTATGGATATGATCTTTGCGATTTTACTAATTAAGGCTATCAACTTGTAAAAGTTTATAATCAAAGGTATGATTTTATTCATTCACTTAAAATTTTTTAGAAAAATAACAAAGTTTATATTTTTAATTAAAAACTTCTAAAATGTAATAACCTTGATTAATAACAAAAATGATTATAGTCTTAATTAGAAAATTTTTTGAAAGATTATATCCTTATATATACCAAATCTCCATTTGATACAAAAAATTATCCAAGTTTATGAAGTGAAACGGAGAAGGGTAAAATGATGGATGGAGTAAGATGGCCAGAAATGGAATGGCATCAAAGCCAAATTTAGACCTTTCAAATTGTGCGTCTCTTGCAAGGCTTTATATGTTTTTCATCTCTACATATATACATTATGAAAATCTTGTATATTGAGTACTAAGTAGGAATGTAGGATGGGAGAGAGGCATTTGTTACTCAACAAGATATTAACACTTTAAACCATACAATTATATAATCTCAAAGGAATTTATTCTCTTAGTCTGAGCCTTAAAAGGGACACAAAGAATGCTTGAATGCTGGGATGTTTAAGCATTCGCTATTCTGCGAGTGTCCGTATATACAGGCAGAGAAAGCATCTTCAATTGTTGGTGTTTATTGTAAGTGCACATGACTTTCTCTTGGAGTAGTAATGAATAATACGACTATGCTTCATAATTTAATTTATCGACACTAAACTTTATCTTCTTTTCAAGATTCCTTCATATATGAAGAGATAAGTAGATACCACAATATAAGACATCGGCTTGGGAGGATGAATAAAATATGAGAGTTTTTACTTCTCTTTAAAGATTTTTTTATCTTTTAGGGGTCATTGCCTAAATTATTAACGACATGGTTAGGGGTGGGGTCCTTGATTAATTTTTCTGCTCCAAAAGTGAAGTTGACATGTTAGGCAGGTAGCTGGTGAAGCTCGACGTGGTCATCTATCAACTCTTGCAGAAGTGATAACTCTGGTAATCTTTAGTAGTACATTCGCTTCTTGAGCTTAATTGTATAGATTTGTTTACAAACGGTATCATTTATTTATTTTCTTTATATTAATCTTTCGGTATCTGATAACCATATTAGATCCGACTAATTTAAAATTGAGTTGTATTGAATCTTATTAGGGGAAATCACTTCCAACATTTATTTTGTCATTTACAAAACTCGAACTCAAAATTTTATTTAAAGAGAATCCAACTTTTTCCATTCGAACCGATAAATTGTTGGTACAGTATCATTTATTGCTATTTGCTGTGTGAAGTATAGCTTGAAAGATTGATTAAATTAAGATTTTAAAAAATATTTTATAAGATAATTTGTGCATTAAAAATGTAATTTATCTTATGAATTTTATTAAAATATGCTTAATTAAACTATTTCTTATGTTATTTCATTAAATATATTATAAATAAGTTCATATAATGAAATGCACTTTTAATGTTTAATATATAAATACCATAAGAAATCCTGGATACAATCTAACATGATAAGCTTGACAGTATTTTTTTTTTTTTTTTAATGATCAACTTGATAGTAAATTTAAGATTTGATCTATTATCATAATTTAATGAGTCAACCAATTTGTGTAGCTTATTCCTAAATCTCTTAAGATCTCTTTAACAACACCCAATGGATTTCATGAACACATCATACTTGTTCGTTCTTGTTTTCCCTGTTCACACCAGACATGTCCTGCAAGGGGCAAAAAAAACAAGAAATCATAATTAGTTCACAATATTCTCATCAGAAGTTCGGAATCAATATAGAGAACAGACTCATACCGGAACGAAGTTTGGGGAGTTCAAGTACACATTTCTGTAGTGCTCAACGCACTCTTCTTTAGTCTTGGTCCCTACATGCACAGCCACTTCTGCCCAGTTTTCTAGACCATACATCTCAATCCCCTAAAACATCAAGAAATTTTAAGTATAAATTAATTCCACGTTATTCTATACATGATGTGAACATGGCCTATTTACAAAACTGAAGAACAAGGTTGAAAGTTGTACCTCCAGAAGTGACATTTCTTCCTGTGCATCCCAGTTAAGGCAAAAAACAGGGAATGATAAATCATTCTGTAAATAAATTAAGATAAAGAGTGCGAAAGGGCACAATCAATTCATTTGTATCCAAACTATTTGAAGTAGTACTCAACAAAACAGCACGTCAAGTACTAGAGGAAAATTTTGGTTAGAATTAAGGTATGCATTACTGACCATAATCCTGTAAGGATGATGAGTTTTGTGAGGTGTCACCTCGGCCCCAACTGAAAAGCACTCTATGCATAAGTCAAAATCAGGACAAACAGCACATTTGATTCGAGTCTTTCCTGTGATGTCCTTGTTGCAATAGTTGCAATGGTAAAAAGCCCTATTCCCTTCACAAGAACCTTGACCTGAAATAAAGACGAGAAAAGGTTGTCACAAAAAATGAAGGTAATTCTGCCTGAATATGCTTGTTATAATATATTGCATTGTAAAAAGGTTGACTGCACCACAGAAATGTTCTTGACCGGAAGTATAATATCAGTTCAGGATTGAAATTTACCTGAAGATGATAGTAAATTTTCTGCAGTGGAAGCAGTCGTTTTTCTCCTTGAGCTGCATGACAAAAGTAAATAGTACCCAGATGAAGTTACATTATACATGAATAGATCTATCATCTATGATACAGTCAATAATATGTCGCATTCTTTTGTTGTGGTCCATTGATAATCACTGCAGTTTAAAAAAAACTGTCGATAAAATACACCATAATTAGTGGTTGAACTTTACCAAAGAATAAGGTATTAATTTTTAATTTCTAATCATTTTTCCTGTCACAAGGTCAATAATCTGTCGTGTCAGAATACAAACGTTCGGGTGTTATCCTCATTAGCTGCTTGAGAATTCCCACGAGACCGAGCCATATTTGACTTTAGAAGTCTGACAGCCCCACCAACAAAAAAACTAATTTAAAATCTTGATTTGAAGTTATGGTGAATGGTTCAGAACCTCTGTGTCGCCAAATGATTCGATATTTCCAAATTAGCAGTAATATCAGAATCGTTTGTTTTGTATATGCAACTAATACATACACAGTGGCCGAGTTGGTTTTGTCTTGCTGAGCACCAACATAGAGACTCATATTATAGTCGAATAAAACCTCCGAGTTCTAAAGAAAGTATATACAACTTTGGCATACGTCTGTAATTTTGGTAAGTAAATATATAGTAAGCATGCTATTCTGGGAATAATTCTTCAAACGTGGGAAGTTTATTATCCAAGGAAAATCTGTAAACTTGGTAAGTAAATCCAAGTGACAGGATAGGCATTTTGGGACATAGCTCAAGAAATCATTTTACAAAATTCTGACATCTTTTTAATCTTGTTGCTGATTGTGACAGAATAATACGTTGTACTAAACAAAATGTAGGATTTTTTTTCTCTAATTGCATTGAGTTTGTTTGGGAAGAATGTGAATTTGCTATCTCTGCGTGAACTCCACTGGGAAAGCTGGAGCCCAATAAAATAAAGTGTGAAATGGATTCGGCTCAAGGTCTCATGTCAGGCTGATCTCAAGCGTGCTTACATTGTACCAAAGTTTTATTTGGGAGTGCTTCATACACAATACACTTAATTTATTTATAAGTAGAAATTTATTTATATATAAATTTTA